TTTTCAGGCCGTCGAGCGTGCGCTCTACCTCCGCTCACCGCTGCCGCATGGTGGCGCAGCGCGTGTAGAATACGGGATGCTGGCACTGAACGGCCGCGCCTATTAGGAAGCTCGCGAATTCGTGTTTTCATGCGAGTTAATTTGCAGTCGGGCTTCTTGACGGCTTTCACTGATACAGGGAGGATTAAAAGTAACACTGACATAGTGGCGCGTTGTTTTCACCTGGCTCTGTCAGGCCGTGCTACCGGTTCGATATATGCGTTCGAGTTTTATAGCATTCGCGTTTCATTTTCTCTTTGAAGCTATTGCAACCACATTATTTGCAAGCCTCAGTATATATTACTGCTGTGTACCACTCTGCACATCTGACGGAAAAAAATCTCATTGTCTTTTTTCATTCCTCATTATTTACACAAAAAAAACTCGCTGGTCCCCTTATGAATTCACCTGAGACGACTAAAAGGCAAAAACTATCCTCGTTTTCTTCCGATTCAATGCACTGAATGTTTTCTACTTCCTTACGGGATATTTCTGTGCCGAACACTGTCTCAAGGATTGGAAACAAAGCTGGCTTTCTGCCCCTTAGCTGGTTATGCACTGCCCTCATGATCGACCCATTTCAACCAAGCGAAGATGTTATATGATGCCATCAAGTTATGTGACCTTCCAATACGTCAAAGACATTTATGATATGTGACGTCATATGATGACGTTTTTACGTAATGATGATTTCTTGCATCACCCGTGTTCACGCCGCCAACGCGAAAAGACGCCGGACGCCACCGGCAATCAATTTTCGCTTTTTGATGAGGCATTCAAAGCTATCGCCTTAATGCACCGTACGGCTGTAGCTCCGTGAAGTTGCAGTTTCCGCTGGTGTTCGGGAAGAGCGTGCTTGCAGTAATAAGGCAGCACAATTGGTATCCTAATAAGTGTTCGTACTACACTCTAATATGCAGTCGTCATTTATAACCCGAACATTTTATAGATTATAAGTAGTGGTGTCTCAAGACTACCCGTCATGTTTGGCAACATGGCAATTGGTATCACTAAAGTGGAGTGCGCTGCAACCGAACAGTCAACAAATGAGTATCATTAACAACGCTGCCTCGCGATCACTGCCATGTGCAACGCTAACATTACGCCCTGAATCTTAATGGGACCCCATAGACACCACACAGCCATTCGGCCTCTACTCATCTCGATACCGAATTAAGAGACCAGAGAGAAGAATACCGAAACAGAGCTGAGCAGCCGGCAATTAAGGCAACGACAATCTATCCACGAATACGCAGGCGAGTTCAAGCAACTGACCGCAGGCCACATTTTTCATTCCTGTCACCTTGACTCAAGTGGAGAGTCGGCATTAGACTTCAGACTTTACCAGCGCCTGTTCAAAACATAGGCAATGATCACAAAAAACACGCCGCATATGGAGCTGTTCTTGTTTATTTTACAATGATTTCATTGTTTAAGCTCTCAAATGGCGAAATCCCCTGCCATAGTTCCTCATTTTTTGACACTTGCTTTTTCTCGGTGGCAACACATGTTGTGCTTTACGAAGAGATCTATGCATGATGACCTGTACCCCTGGAAGCTGTCTATAGTGGCATTTCGTGCTATTTATTGCATCAACTCCGGGCTTGCGCATAATATACTACGCCACTAGAGAGTAGCAAACATCGGGGAACATTAGGCACCCAAGCTTTTAATACTAGCTTCTGGCAAAGGCTTCTCTCAAAAGTCGACTTTCAGTTAGTCAAAACAGCAACTCTCAGACAAGCAAACGCCGCTGCGACAAAACAATCTTCCACGGCTTACTGGCATTAATTATCTGGTATTGGCCTGGCAGACGACGCGTGAGCGCCTCGATCGAGTAGTCGCGAATGACACATGCCTTTGAAATGAAGAAGGTGTCCAGAACAGCAAGTGCTCCGCGATTCTCGTTTCCAAGTTTCTATTACATCTTAAACAATGTGAATACTGCAGCCGAAAATAGAGCCGTATGGCAGCTTCGAATGTAGCCGCGGCATTTCTTTGCGCTAGAGACGACGCGGTGGCATCTCTTGGAGTTACTGTATATGCTACCATAGGTAGCATATACCTACGGTAGCATATACAGTAGCTCTAGCATCTCTATTCTAGTTGCGGCGCCTGGCGGCGAACCGCCCACAAGCACCGACGGCCGCTTCTCCTTGAAATCCGCTCCTTCGCCCGGGAACTGAAAAAATAGAGGGGGCACTGGTGTAGTATAAATTCGGTTACGTCTAAGAAAGAAACAAGTGCCACGAAATATTTTTTTCATTACTTTTCACATGAGAAATGTTACTTTATTACAGGATATATATATATATATATATATGGGGGGGGGGGGGGCTAACGAAAGCCGCTAAGGCCAAAAAGAATAGCGAGATACGGCATCTTCTTGTTGCTTCGTCTACGCTACACCCTCTTATACCTCTCAGTGATACTTTGCCGTGTTCAGGTAAAAAATACTGCTCGGAGGGGGTTTTTCCCGAGCTTATTTTCAATGAGTACAATCGTTCCTCATAGCCCCATTTCTCGCCCCTTCTCTCTTAACAGAATAACGTGTTAGAGAATTATTATCTTTAGCAGACCTCATTGCCCTTCCTCCTATTATTATCCTTTCTCGCTCCTTCTCTTTTCGCAAGAACTCCCTGGGTGCCGCTATTATTCGCGCGTGCTATATAGCGGCGCGTGAGCAGGTGCTCAGTACGCACGATGCGAGCGGGACCACAAGTTTTCTGCTCATCCATGGCATTGAGAGAAAAAGAGCACACGTTCTCGTTCTACGACGCAAATGGATGATTTCTCTTCATTGCTGTGCTGCCCGTACCACTGCAATCGCTAAAGATCACGATCGCCTACAAACATGGCTACGTTTGCCGTCCCGTCGTGCTCCCCTTCTCGTGGACGGATGGCGGCTGTGGACTCTATGTTGTCATGCAACGAGCTCTTTGACGCATATCACGTCCACTGCTTTGAAATGTTAATGTCAGATTGTTTGCCTAAGTGTGATATTACTGCTAACGCATAATAATCTCGATGACAAAGAATATTTTATGGTTAACTCAATGAGAGGAAAATATCAAGGCCTTAGCGATTCAGCACAGCGCTAATTGAAGTTTGGTCCCTCATTCAGAATTGTGTTGTCTTACTTTTTTTAACATGAAAGTGTATTGTGCTGGGTTCCACCACAGCTCCGCTGACGTATTTTCGTCACAGATATGACATTGTAAAATACAAAATAAACAACAGACTGCAAAGAAAAATTGGCCCCGTATCTACATGTTACACTGCAAATGTCGTCGAAAGACGATAGTCTTGCGTCTGGGGAGAGTGAACAAAACGTTTATTTGATGTTCTGCGCAATAAAATCAATGAATGGTATTCTAGAGGCGCTGCGTTAGAGTGCGTCGAGCGTGCAGCGGAGGCGAACGAGGGCATCAAGTCACGTCACACGTGAGACATGGGCGCTATCTGGCAGTTATCGTGGAAAACGAAGCGCGCGCTGTGCGAACCTGTCTCGGATGTGATAAGGTGTACAACTCAAGGCGACGGGTAGGTGCCACCACGTGTTGTCTTAGCAAAGCGTTGGAAACATTTGCCTTTTCGTGCAAGCGTTGCATGGTCAGCGCAGCGTGATAAACGCTACGGTCCTTAGAATAACTTATGTATGCATTTTCTAGTAAAAGACACACATACAGAATACTGACGTGTTGTTATGGTGCCTCAGATATACGCAATAATTGCTTTTTATTTGACAATCGCACAAGTATGAACGCTGAACCTTGAGCAATATTGGTGGGCGCTGTGGATGGGGTCAGCCGTTTCGGGTATCGTCTGGTGCCTGTCAGTGTACCGTTAAAGGCGGACAAACAGACAGAACAAAATTTTTGCGTCGAAGGTGCCCAAGACAGACTATAGTCTTTAAAAAACGAAAATTAAAGGATCTGCCACGGGGCGTCGAACCAGTGACTTCTCCATCTCCAGCGCGTGGCACTATCCGCTATGCCACGAAACGCACGTCAGCAAGGGCGCTGACGGCCTGTTATTTATTTACACTTAATGTCATTAGGCGGTCCTCAGAGCTCCATTCATACCTTCAGCGCGTTTTTGTCATCAGTGGTGAGATGTCGCGACAGTCTCACGATGGCTCTGGCATAGCGCGCTTGCAATTGCATCGTCGCCTTTCGATGAGTGCTGCTCCACTCATCTCCTTCGTCCGCTCTTATCAGACTCGTGATTCAGGAGAGCACGAAAGTCACTTCCCTCGCTGCCGCGGCCGTAAATACTTACGAAAGAAGCAGGCTGCTCACACAGAAAGAAGTAAGAACTGTGACAATTGTTCGCGCCTGTCCTGTGTATACTTGTGTGTTTGTTTCATGCGCCTTTCTTTCTGCTTATATAGCGTTCTTTAGGTATCGAGCTATGACAGTTGTTAGTCCGTGCACGTCCTGTGTATGCTAATTTCGTGTGTGCTTCCTGCTTGAGGTGTGCGCTGCAAGTTTCGAGCTGCTTGTCGTTTCTCGTGAGACTTTGCAATTTGTTGCTGTAACATTCATTCCTTCACCCTTGTGGCGAAACAGTGCACGAAAAAAAACTGAACGTATACATCTGTGGAGAGTAGGTTAACTTTCGTGTTATACCGATTCCTAGAACGAGGGATAAGCCACATTTTTTCACAGGTTCCACAAGTCATGACGTGCTATACTGTCTCCTTTGGATCATCTGCGATACATTAGTGTTGCAGGTGTTCACCCTATTGCCCTTTGCACGTTCTGCCCCCTTCAACTGTTGCATTGATGGAGCTCCTTGTCTGTAAAGATCATACCTACCTTCAGGTTTTCACTTGAACGCTGTCTTCGTTGTGGGAGAGGCGGTGGTTTTGTATGTCTGTGTGTGTTCTACTTGAGAGCGAGGCACTCCTAGCCGCCTTTAGCGCAGAAATGGCCCGCAGGTACCACTCAGACGACTGGTTTGTGAGGACAAGTATATACACATTTTATTATTAATAATCGTATTAAACCTAAGAGTTGAGCAGGATGAGGTTATGTACAGATGAGGTTCAGTTTGTCCTGAAAAAAAAACGAGAAAATAACATTAACCAATGATCATGAGAAACATGTGCGATGCATAGTCAATGCATGATCAATGTAACGCATACTGTCTTCTGCAGTGACTGGTGGCCTGTTTCTATACAAATAAAATCGCATTATTTAGCGCGATCTATTACTGGAGCTCTTTGTGCGCCGCAATCAGCCGCTAGTGAACAGTGTACATGAAGAACTGCTACATTTACTTTTGTTTGAAATGATGCGCAATAATTGTGTAGTGTGTTCCTTGAGCGGCCAGTTAATGGAACTCATTTACTTGTGAAGGACGTGGTTCATCAATTACGTTGCCTATATACCTTTTTTATTTGTTTGTTTCTTCGTTTATGTATGTATCTGTAAGTGCAACCTATATCAATGTCAATGAACAATTATTACTGCAGAATGACTTAACCTGTTGCACAGTTTCACACATCTTACCGCAACCGCTGAGTATGACCAGGATGACGTCGCCAGCACGCACACCAATCACCAGAAACCGTGTCCGCCGTAGCCACCGTAGCCGCCGTGTCCGTAGCCACCGTAGCCGTGACCAAATCCATGTCCGTAACCGCCGTAACCGCCGTGTCCGTAGCCACCATATCCGTGTCCAAGACCAATGCCGATGCCGTGGCCTCCGAAACCGATGGAGATGCCCTTGCCGTATCCGTGACCGCCGTAGCCATGTCCGTAACCATGTCCAAAGCCGTGTCCGTATCCGTAGTAGGGGTGACCAACCTTCACCTGATGGGCAACCTTGTAAGTTAGCACAGGCCTAATTCCAATGCCGACGGTCTTTACGGGCACCTTTACAAACTTCACCACTTTCTTGGGCACGTAGCCTGCAGGTAGAATACGCGTAGATATTAGTACATGGACATAATGTTTTTCATTACCTAAATGACTAGGCAGCTGATTGTGATCACCATTCTGCAATATACAAAGTGTAAGGCTATTTCTTTCTGCAGTAGACTATGTTTGTGTGCCAGTGTGCTGTATGCAATCTGCCTAGGGAACTCAGCCCTCCGTAATCACGGTGAGTATACCTCATTGCTGGTGACAGAATTTGACAGTGACGACCGGCTTATCCCCCTCTTCAAATGCTTGCTAATGTGCCCTGGACTTGCACAAGGGCAAGTTTTAAATGGTTATGGTGACATTAAATGCTTGCGTGAGCCGTAGTGACTGAGTAAAGTACTTCGCGAAAACATAAAAGAACGAAATAAAACGAGAAAAAAAAGCCTTGTTTAAAATCCTGGGGCATCGACTAGACGAGCGTGTTCTCACCAATGGACACGTAGGGTTTCTTGACGTAGCCAACTCTGACGATGGGGACCCCGTGACCACCATAGCCTCCTCCATAACCGCCACCGCCGCCACCTCCGTGACCAGCATTGACGGCGCTCAGGGCGTGTAGTGCATTAATGTCGTATCCACCGTGTACGCTGTTGGTCATTGTCGCTATTACCGCGGCTAGGACGAGCACCTGCGACAGGGAATAAAACATGTAAGACGAACGCTTCAGATCAGGAAGTCCATGCTTAATGTGACCTCTATATCGTCTCGCATACACCCACAGCTTGAGATAGTTGGATTTCTGCCTGTTCACTTTACATGCTTCCTAGTTCCTTGTAGTTACCACACCAACTCCCAACTGTAGGTTAGCAAACTAAGTTTCTTTTTGTTAAACTTTTCTTTCATCATCAATGTCATTATCATCATCATTTTCTGCCTATTTTATTTATGTTCTCTCCGTGACCAAATCCCTTCCTCATGATTTCCAATTTATCTCAGGCAGTACGACTTGGTTCATTGTGATACCTAGGAACTTCCTTGTCACTTCCTGCGACTCCCTGCTGCCCTCAGCTAAGTTTCGCATCTCAGGGTATCTATTCCGTCACTCTAACTGACCATCGCTCATCTGTCCTTCGCATTAAGATACCGTCGCATTAAGGTTCCCCCTTCCTTCTCGGTGTCATCTAGAATGTCAGCCATCATTCTTTAAAAAATCTTGCCAGCTCAATCGACAGCTGGCATCGCTGCTCATCATTTCCATTAACTCTATTGTTAGCAATGCGTGCAGACGGCGCGGGGAGTAGAAGAGCCGCAGCCGCATCTTGCGCACAAGCACGTATTGGTCGGCACGCAATATTTTCTCTTGAGTTGGAAGCAGGCGCTGACTGCCGTTAAAATAGCGCGCAGTTTTGTCGTCGCGTTGCTGGAATAGAAATCGGAGACCACAGCTTGAAACGCCGGTAACTTCCTCTGTGCAACAGCTGCCATTGCAGTGATGGTAAAATGATGTGCTTGATTAAAGATTCATGGGTAAACAGTTAAGCAGCGCTATTCTATCAACTGATCACGATTTATTTAAAAACTAATTTTAAATGGCTAGTAGTCCAATATTCCAAGCCATGCCACTGTTATAACACTCCTCTGCTCCAAAGCAGCTGGGCACTACTGGTTTTCGTACAGCCAGAAAAATGAGAATAAACACAAAGAAACGCTAATTTAAAAAAAATAATCTCACTGGCCCCATATACCACACGTTTTTAAATAATTAAGAAAAACTTAAGGTTTCTTAAAGACTATAAAAATATGGCAGAATTTGATTTGTTTTGTTTTTTCACGAACACCCTAAGCAAGGAGGCTTATTAAGAAGTTCTTGGCTTATTGCTACACTTACTACATGGTACATTGTGAAACTCTCTTAAATTTTTTCTTAAATTTACGTTTCCCTAACTTGAAGTTCTTTGGTTCTCTTTTTCTCGATTCTTATAGAAAATATCGAGAAATACCACAGGGTATTTAGTGATCAGTGGAGCGTTTCGTTGATAACATCTTCATCTTTCCACTCTCTCTCTCTCTCTACCTAATACTCTGTTCATTTTTACCAGCGGGCGTGTTCAATTAAAGTCAGTTAACTCAAATAAGTATTTTACAGTATTACAGCACCTGTGCTCCTAGTTCATTCGTCGTTCGTCTCTACCAAAACTGAAAATTGTCAGCAACTGTTCGTTAACATCGGTTACGTCACTTGTGAACTGTAATGACCATTGGCACTTCGAAATGCAACTTCGCGGCCTTTCTCTTTTCTCTCCTTTTTCTGACCACGCTGCTGAATTACTCGGTAACCTTGCCGATTGCGAACGTAAATCAACCTAAATTAGTCTAGATGACCTAAATAAGGCACACCTATATTCCACGTCGTGCCTTGAGTCAAAGACCGTATCACATTCGATGAATGGCTGTTTGCCCCTCATGAACACTAATAAATACGCTATTTTGTTGTCGAGGCTAGGTATCGAGTCTACGAGGAATGAAAGCGACGAAAAATTTTAAGAGCTCGGCTATGATCGGAAGTGATCTCAACAATATTCAAGGTAGCTGCTGCCAATAAGTTTACTTATGCTAATTTATGTCAAGGTTTTATCATGTGGTGATGACTGCCAAGTACCCTTGAGGAATCAAGTATTTAGCAGTCATACTTATGTAAGTGCCACTCACTACTAGGGGATTCTCTTAGTGCAGTTGCATGGCTGAAATTTATTTCTTAAGCCTCTAAACTTTTCTGAACTATCCAAACATGAACACTAAACCTGGATCATTGCCCACGGGCTTTCACGATTAAAGTTCACTTTCTAGTTTTCAATTATGAAAGCACATTCGCTGTCAAGAGAACGTCAGCTATACAAATGTTATGGATGTATTAAATACTCGACAACTTTTCAGTTATCGCCCTACACGTGGGTCAAACAAGGACCTTAATTTCGGCCTGCTTATTGATAGAATCAGCCTAAAGTGAAACCTCTGTGAGTGAATGCCGTCAAGCTGCCGACAAAGCCTTTGTCACAATCGCGGGTGCGACTCCTGCTGAGGAAAACAGGGTCGAATCTGCGACCTTGACTCAGACCTGGGACTGGCTCGGCGGCACTGCACATGGAATGCGATGTGGCTCGGTAGGTTGGCATCAGACACTTACGATGGTCTTCATGGCTACTATCCCTGAGCTGCTCCGCTGCACTGAGTGTGTTGCTCGATTCGGCTCACAGTGTAAGCTCCCGTGGCCTTGCAGGGTTTTATACCAGAGTGGGCAAGAAAGAAATACTGGCTGGTCCGCGAGGAGGGCTCGGAGTTGTGGGGGGCGCATGGCTTATCAGCCAGTGATGTCAGGCGAGGGGAAAGGCGGGCGCCGCTGAATGAGCGCGTCCATTTCGAAGGATGATAAAAATAGTCGGTCAAGTCCGCCAGGCAGCCGCAGAAGCCCATGGCGTTTCCGCGAGAAGAAGGTGTGCTTGATCTACATTGGAGCGGGAAATCTGTAAACTTGCTCCTTTTCGGCGAGAGAGGAATAGCCAACTAGCGGCGGATGCACGGCGGGCGAGAAGGGAGAACAAGCAGACCACCCCCCTGAACGAAAGCCGGCGCCTATTTCGGTCGCCAGACGGCCGCGAACACGCTGCCCTCGTTTGAAGGGACCGACGCACCAAAAACGAAGAAAGGATGCGCGCGAGAGTGGGGCCTGCGACAAGTTGGTCTCCGTGTCCCAGCTGCCGCAAAGGCCGACGGCGACCACGTCCCGCGCGCTCCCGCGCACGCGCGTGTCGCTGATCGCGCGCGCATTCAGGAAGTTTAGGGACGCGCCTTCGGCTGTACTCAATGGGGGAGGGGGGAACGTGAAGGCGTAGACAGGCCGTCAGGGATCACCCCAACAGCGCGGCCGGCTAACGTCACGCCGAAGCCTTGACATTGAGATCCACCGGTTCCGCTCTCCCTCTCCACGCTGCGCGATTCCACCTCGTGATGGGCGCTGATTGAGCTTTTCAAGATCGCTCCCCTCCCCCCCCTCCCGTAAAACGAGGAGCACTTCGACGATCCGATGCTGACCGTCTATGCCACTACTTTGACAGCTGTCATCGCCTCGCGCCCATTTAGGCCCACCAGTCGACGCCTGCCTGTCTGCCTGCCTATACCTGTGAGCACGCCGCGCTTTCACTTGACCTGCTCTTGGCCGACACTCAACGCGGCGTCATATTTGCACAGAACTCGCGAAAGACGGTGTGTGTTTGTAGAACGTTACTTCATGTTGCGGCATGCTACTGTTTAAGCTCCACTCGAACAATGTTTGCTATCATGTGGGGCTCAAAGTACGCGTGTAGGTTTCCTAAGGTTTTCTGACTGAAAGAGGATCTCTTCTATGCGTGACGAAACTATTCGTAAGCGCTGATTGTTTTAGGAGGGTCCCTTCACCGATAAGCCAGCATAAAGATTGACTCGAGTTCGCTCTTACGAACGAGTGTTGAGGAAAAACCAAATGAGAATATCGGCTCTTAAGAAACTGTCCCAAAGCTCTAAATTGCTGTGTACTATACATGTTTCGTAAGAGCATCTGCCATTCGTATTATTGTTTGTTTTTTCGTTGTTTTAGGAGCATTGGCGTATGGTAAGCAATGCAACATTTTATCGTACGCGTTTCAGTTATAAATGAATATTTTTGGTATTGAACATTCTAATTAGCACAGAGTCAATGCTACAGCAGTGCAAAGTAGTATGAAGAATCTGGCACTATCAGGCAATTTTTGTGTGTAGTAGTGCGCTAGGTACAAAAGTGGCATTCTGCAACAATCTAGGATGTTCCTGTTTTGTAGCATATGCATAACAAGGTTGTCAGATTATATTGATTTGATTGATATGTGGGGTTTAACGTCCCGAAACTACCATATGAATATGAGAAACACCGTAGTGGAGAGCTCCAGAAATTTCGGCCACCAGGGGCTCTTTAACGTGCACCCAAATCTGAGCACACTCGTCTACAGCAATTTCGCCTCCATCTAAAATGCAGCCACCACAGCCGGAATTCCATCCCGCGACCTGCGCGTCCGCAGCCGAGTACCTTAGCTACTAGACCACCGCGGTGGGGCGCTAGGTTATATCGCAAATGCCAAAATAAAATTTGTTTCTAAACGCAGTACTGTAAGAATTAAACAGAGAGCCGATTCGGCGGCGATTACAAATGTTGACTGCGCTGTATTGAAGCGATAGCGTTAAAGAGCTCGTTTCGCAGAAATTCTAGTGTCGGCGTCGTTGGTTGCAAAAATTCTCACCTTATGCGGGATCGCTGAACAATGCAAATACAATAAATACAAATTTATATAATATATATATATATATATATATATATATATATATATATATATATATATATATATATATATATATATATATATATATATATATATATATATATATATATATATATATATATATATAAAGACCCTGGAGCAGAGAGAGGACTGAGCCAGGGTTGTTTGGGGCCGAGTGGGGCTCGAACCACCCGGGTAGTTTGTGTGGCACGTGGATGTTTTACCACACGGCCACGCATCTGCTTGAGAAAACAGTGAGAACAACTTCCTCTGCTAAGAAGTGCAGTGAAAGTACCTTTCATGCTTCACAAACACACGCTTCCTGTATGCATGCTTCACAACGCAACATGAAATATTGCAGTAATAATGCGTGGTACAATCATCTCATTCCCAATGGGCGTCAGAATATGTGAATGTCATAGTGGCTCCGTGCGGTTAGATGCCGGTACCCCTTCTACAAAAGGCACACCCGCTACTTCGCCTATTCCCTTAAGGCCACGTATATTGGGTGCATAGCGAATTCGAAAAGGTTTCATGCACTAAGTGTTTGAAGTGCGCACTAGCAACGGGATGTAGCTATCGCACTCAACTCCTAAACGCGAAACTTTAGGTTCCCCTAATTTTTAAGGGGTCAATTTCGTCCCTGTTTTGTGGGATTGAATTTCCGCATATTTCGAACGACCATAATTAATTCTGTAAAGTGCAAGTGAAGCCTTCATGCTGTTTCATTTCTTACTTTTTTGTCAATAGTGCTATGGCCTTTACATAAAGAATTTATATTTATTTATTTATTTTATTTATGAATTGTGCCCAAAAATGAGTACCAAATAAGAAGTGAATTTTAGAATGTGTCAGAAAGGTTCTATTATATGACATTACCAGCAAGCAGTATATCTCTATGCACACCGAAATATAATCATCATTGCCTCAAGCTCGAGCCAGACATGAAAGCTTTCTCAAATTGGAAAGAATCGACCACAGAGTCTGGTGGCTCCACGCCGCCTCTCCCTTGACTTTGAGACAGTATACATCTCAACTCCGCCTCTGTTTTACTACCACTACGTACAGGGTGGGGGTGGTGGTCAAAAGTTCTCAGGACATGCTCCCATACGAATACATAGGATAGTGGCCTGGAAACTTTTGATCCCCCGTGTACCTTCATAACTGGGGTGCGTTGCAAACAGTGAAACATATTTTGATTCCAATGCTACGGTAACACAGACGAAGGTACTAATTTTTACAGTACAACTAGGTGAGCTCTCCAAGCACCCATTCTATCAATCACGGAAAAATACTGGGTAATATGTGTCTCCTTCTTCGTAGGAACGCTAAGCTTTGAAACTCGTTTTCAGTTTCCCTGAAAAGATTAGTTAAACTGATATGGTCGAAACTGGCTTATATCACAGCGAGCGGCCGGGTCACAGCCATTCCCTTTCTATCACCCGTAAATACCACGCCTGTACGTTATTCGTTTTTCTCGCGTTGTTCTGACCTTCTGTTTCTATGGGGAATTTTCCTGCTTCGAGGACATTTATGTCCTCGGTCCTCTTCTCAATTACTGCTCCTGATCCAACGCAGCGCAAGAAACAAACTCAACAACAACTGCAAGGGCGGGTTTCCTTTTTTTTATGTGTATGCAAGGAGGCGCCCACGTATGCATCACCAGAATTCTTTTTTGTTTTATTAAAGATCATTGTCCCTATATATCCTCAAGTTGAGTACAACAGCTGGCATAGTGCGCGCTTAATAATTGATGACGGCCAAAGCTCAATGAAGGAATGACACCAGTAAGCCTCTTAGTTATAACCGCTGCCTTCACTGAGGTATTTCAATGTAAAAAAAAGTTTTAAAAATAAAGATAAGATCAGGCATGCGGTATTTTTTTTAATCAGGCGTCAGAAGCGTGCGTGTTCATATCAGCGAGGAATAAAAAACAAAGAAGAAAACAATAACAAACTATGAGACCACCTGTGCACTTGAATTTCGGGGCGCGTTAGAGGGCCTCAGTTTATCAAAAATAAGGATTTATGCACTACATGCGGTGCAGTTCTGTAGTAATCCGCTGGGACATTTCAGGACGTTCGAGTTCCTGAAATACCTTTTCGATAAGGCCAGTGACAACACTGGTACGTCCCAAAGGATGTGAACCAGTGTATATGTACCCTCAAGTTGCATTCTACTTCCATCACCTCTGGTTTTCTTTAATTCATGTAGGCGAATAGCGGTTTAAGTTATCGAAAGCTAAAAAAATTTTCTTGAAGTCTGCACACTTTTTGAGCACAATTTAACTATTACTTGTACGATTGGTCAAATCGTTGCTTCGCACTTGTGTTTTGCACTTAGGGCTCTGAGACTACATATACTGCACCTTTGTTTGCGCAACCCCTCATCATCTGAGAGTTTATGTGCTATCATGTTTTAACTGGTCACAGCTGTATTGTAATGTTTTGCCAGTAGTATGAGGGAAAGCATGCACAAAGAACGAGAACATTGCAACAGACCTGTTATGGTGGAGGTTTACCGTGTGCCATCGATAAAAAATTGTCATCATCGTTATTCGACCAGCGCTTAATCGCCTCTGTAAAGATGGTTAACAAGAGAAGCTGACACGTGCCCAGCAGTTCTGCTGGAACCCAACTTTGCATGAAATAGTGCAAGCTTCACGAAACGTTCTCGTTTCAAAATCAGAAGGCCTACATAATTTTGGAATGGAAGAAGAAAAGGGGAAATGTAGAACGTGTTTTGCATTTCTAAGCCGCTCATCCATTCACAAACAAACGCCCTTCATTTATTTATTTATTTATTTATTTTATTTATTTATTCTTTCGTGAGCCCAAAAGACCTTCCTGTCACTTCACCACATGACTTCGATTTATTTAGCTTCAATTTATTTATGGCAGAAGG